TGTTAAGCGCATCCACCCAATAAGTAGTTGGCATAGAAGCATGAGCAAGAAGGGTAAGAGTAGTATCAATGAGATGACGATGTTTACGCTCTGCCAATCCATTTTGTTCAGGATGGTGAGGACAGGAACGACGATGATGGATGCCGTGGTGCTCTAAAAAAGTGGTTAAAGTCTGATTGACAAATTCTCCCCCACCATCAGTTTGAAGAACTTTGATAGAAGCTGAAAATTGGTTAGACACGTAGGCATGAAACTTAATAAAGAGGAGAGAGACTTCATGTTTATTTTTCATAGGAAACAACCAGGTATATCGAGTAAATTCATCTACAAAAAGCACATAATATTTAAATCCTTGAAGAGATAAAGTAGAAGAAGACCAAACATCCGAATGTATTATTTCAAAAGGAAACATAGTCCTTGACTGAGACAAAGAAAAAGGTAATTTGGTTGCCTTGCCTAAAGGACACGATGGACAAAAAGAGAAATGCTTAGAACCAGACATAGGTAGACGCCTAGAAAGAGAATCAAAAACAGCTGGAGAAGGATGACCGAGACGAGAGTGCCAGACATCAGCGTCGCTCTTAACACCAAATATTAGTTGAAGCAGATGGAGAAAAAAGAATATTATTAAGAGAAAAAGGATGAGAGGAATGAGTGACGGAAGAGGAACCAATTTTGTTAACCGACAAACCTGTACCAGCAACAACACCACCAACATGAGAACCATGATAATCACGTGCATCATTCAAGTTACCAGCATCAGGAGTAATGTGGGCATTTGCCCCGGTATCCAAAAGCCAGGTGCGGGAAGCAGCAGGAGAATATGAATGGGCAGCCATGGCAGAAAGTTGGGGAGATGGAATACGCCCTTCGTAAGCAAGATTCATACGGTTATAACAATCTAAGGCAGTGTGACCAGGGCGATTACAAATCTGACAGTTGACACGCCCAGAAACAACGGAGCTGCCGGAAGGTTGTGAGCTGCCGGAAGTCTGCGATGGAGAAGAAAACCGACGATTGTTGGAATGGGGAAAATTCCGGTTATGCCCATTATATCCACCGGTCGAAGAGGATGAAGACTGAGGACTAGTAAAACGACCACCACCACGGTTGAAGGAGGAGCCACCACGAAAAACACCATTACGACCACCACGATAACCACCGCCACGGCCACTGCCCCGACCAGCAACTAAAGCAGTGGGTGTGACTTCGTTTAAGTTAAGACCTTGGGATTGAAAACGACCTTCAGCCGTCAAAAGTAAAGCCTCTAAACCTTCATAAGTGATTGGGGAATCCCTGGCTTGAGCGGAACTGACAGTAGTTTCATAGAGAGGACCAACATTGTTCATAATTATAGAGACAAGTTCTTGATCATTAACGGAGTGGCCAGCAAGAGCAAGAGAATCAGAAATACCATTAATCTTGTCCAAGAATTCAGAAATTGAGGAATCACCGCGAGTAGTGCGGAGAAGCTCGCCACGAAGGTGAATAATGCGATGCAGAGTTTGAGAAGCAAAACGTTTCTCAAGGGAAAGCCAGGTGTCACGAGAAGTAGTATAGCGTGCAACCGGTCCAAGAACAGAGGGGGTAAGTGAACCATTAATCCAACTAAGGATAAGCTGATCCTGGCGAATCCAGTCATCATAGGCTGGATTGACTTTTTCTGTGTCGTCTTTATCTTTGACAACAGAAGGAGGGCATGTGGTTGTCCCTTTGACATAGCCCATAAGACCACGACTCTTTAGAAGAGGAGTAATTTGAGCCAACCAGAGAGGATAGTTGGTGCGATCCAGTTTGAGAGTCAGAACAGAGGCAATGGAAGAAGAGTTGGAAGGAAAGGCATATTCAGAGGAGGTAGAGGAAGCCATTATGATTGGACTGTTTACTGGATACGAGAAAAAATGCAAAAAAAAAATATATTCAAGGGATCGTTTTCTGCTCTGATACCATGAAAGATTTACAGAGAGGAAAAGATAATTCTTTCATTGATTTAGGGACTATATATATACAAGAGAGAGACAGCCAATATGGCTTGCAGCACAGCACGTGAACATAGTTACAGGAAACAATAAAGGCCTTGGAGTTACAAAACAATTACGGGAAATCAGGAGAGAGTAAAGACATTGGAATTACAAAAAGAAAACATGTATACAGTAATCAAGGGTTGCTTTCCTGATATACAGGTAATAGTGTAGATTCTCCTCTATTAATAGACTCTATGGAATATGAGTCCATCAGTTTGCATAATTGAAATATAATTGTTTTACCTAGAAATTCGAAGATGAGCACATCTAACGTACACGACAGAACTTCTCCAACAAGAAATTGCCAATCTCCAAGCAAATTGTAAACCGTGTAATGGTAGTGTCAACCTACATCAAGATGAAGAAACATCAGCAATCTAACAATGAAGATGACTAGATTGAGATTTGAGAAATGCAAAACAGTTACAGTAAGTCGTACTTTCTGATAAACACTTGTAATTAGAAAGGGAAGGAGGTGAAAAAGATTAAATATTACAATTAATCATTCAGTTCACTTAAAAGTAGATGGGCTCATGATGTTTTCTCATGAAAGCTAGATTAATTGCCTGACCTCAGTTTTTTAATGCGTACTCAAGTCTTCAAAGATTCATATTGCAGAAAGCTAATAGCACAAAACGGTATTACCCTTTAAAAATGAGGGGGACATCTGTATAATTGAAATTGGTTTCTACAATTTCAGATCTTGTATCTTCTGTAGGCTCTGAGGCTCTTCTTTCACAGGTTTCAGGGTTACAAGGTTTTGCAGATGATGAACAACCTTCAGAAAATGATTTACAAATGCCATGTCTCAATGATCTTAAATGCTCTCCAGCAGAAATGACCAGCAAATCATCTGAGTATCTATCAGCATCTCTGACGGCAAGATCCTCTGCAATAAGATCATTTCCAAATCCATCCATAACATTATAAGAAGATGCATGAGTGTGCATACATGTAAGCATCGTAGAAAGAACTCACCTATAAATTGAATTAATCGACGACTTATATAACTAGCCAGTGTCAATAGACGGGTGAAAATGTCATCCATTGATGAGTAGAATCCCAGACTATCAAAAAGAAGACTTGTGTTCCACACAGTATCATTATAGGCCTGATACAAAGACCTTTATTAGATATTTAAGCACAAGGTCTGAATCAAACTGACAAAACTAAAGATGTCAAATTGAAACTTCAAACCCCCATAACTTATTCCTTGTGTGATAACATAAAAAAGAAATCAAAGAATCGATAAGCTAATTATAATTTCTTAGCTAATCTTGATCAAGAATAAGAAAGTTACAATAGAGAAGAGATACAACAAACGTACAGAAAAAGTAGAGATAATTTGCAATAATGCACAATCGTAAAGTTGAAAAGTACTCACTGCGAGCGGCATTTCAGATATTTCATTTTCAATATAGACATCACCCATTAATTCTTCGAATCCTGAATTATGCAACAAAACGATTAAGGTGATACTACAAGACAACTTGAAAGGACGAAACTTTGACACAATCAGTACATAACAATAAGAACCCAGATGAGTAAATCAATCATATGAAGAGAAAAACACAACAAATCAACCCCATTCTTTCAACATACTGAACTTATGTAACTCATCATCAAAACAAAATGTAATAAAGATATCAGATAGCAACTTATAGTCAAAGAAGGACTAAATCTGCAGAACCCAGAAACAGCTTGTGGCTCAGCAGAAGCAAAGCCAATTTAATTTATAGAGGGAAGAAGAGAAGGAACAAAAATCTGCAGACCCCATTTCCAAGGAAGTTTAATACATTGGAAAATCTGCAGATAGGCACTATAGACAACCCAGAATCACACATTGGAAAAATAAATACAAGAATTCGAAGCATTAATATTTGGAATTGTTAACATGTAATCAGGGTAGAGACCAAAACAAAGTGTGAAGTTCATGAACAGTTACAGAGCAGAGAGCACCAAAAAGGCTAACTTTGTTATAGTGAAAAAACTGAAACAACAATTCAAAATCACCTCACTCACATCATATAAACATGATAGCAAAATCCTTAATTTAATTACCCAAAAACAAAAATGAAAGCTGGTTGGCTGGCTCAATTTTACACACATTAATTAAGCCTCATCATCAATAATGTAAAACATAACTCAAGCAATTTCAGTTACAATTGGCAGGCATTCTAGTCTAGTTCATGAATCTATGCCTTACCAGAGTGACTGAGAAACACTAACATTCTCGAGGCAATTGCAAGTTTGCAACAAGAAATGCTATTCTTGTTTGGTTCCCGAGAAAATGAAAGATCATGACTGACCTGAGTACTGGAAAGTACAAAACTTGAGGCTGAATTTCCTTTGAAGCCAAACAGAAAAACCCAAAACTGAGCAGTTCAAGCTTTTTGCAAAGAACACGGCTTTTCTTTGTTTTTGGGAAGTAAAGAAGACGGCTTTTCCAAGTTTGGTCCTTTGAAAGTCCGTTTAAAGAAGGAAGAGCATCTCACTCTTCAGTCTCATCCACTTATTGATTTAAAATACTTTTCCTTAAATAAAATACCAATTCTACTGTCACACTGCTCAGAGACCGCGATCGGGACAAGCATTCAACATATATATATATTATTATTTTTTTGCTGACATTCATTCGTTTTTGTTTTCACTTTGTCTTCACTCTGCCATGATGCCATCTGGCTTACTTACTGTATTCATTATCTCTTTTTTTTTTTGTTGGCTTAAAAGGACCACTGTAAAAGTGAAAGTACACTTTGGTTATTAGTTGTTACTCAATTTACACGACTGCCACTGTTCAGTGTTGACCATTAACTAACATTTTGGCATCATTTTTTTTGTACTTGCCGGTTGTAAGATCAATCTACATATAATCCACACCACAGGTAGAACAATTTCTATTATGTGATCTTCAACTAACACTACTTCAAGCTTATAGGAAGCAAAAACACAATCTGTAGTTACTTTTTTCTTCTTCTGTTGAATATTATGACACAATTGGCCATTTACATACACTATCCCCATTAAGCTAGAATTTCCTTGTACTTGAACAAATCTCTCTGTCAGCTTCATTTTCAATTTCAGGGGCAAGAAATCATCGGTAGAGTCAGTCTAGATTTTCGTTATTCCGGAAAATACCTGTCCTGGTCTATCAGAAAAATTGTGCTTCTGTTTTGTATGCCGTGGTCATTGATGGACCACTCCTCATTCACCATACTTCCTTCAAATGAAAAATGATACCTCCGCGGCATAGGGAGGTTCAAGTAGGCCAATCTTTGAGCCAACAGTGCTCTCAGAGTAGAAACAGAGTCGGTAGGATAAGGTCTCAGAAAATATGCATGCCCCTTTCCGATTTGGACCTTCACCTGGATCCTATTTTGCTGCGCTACATTGCCTACTACTGCAGCATCGTGTGCATTTGTCTGGTTGGCTCCTGATGCAGCATCTATCTGATTGGCTGCTGCTTCTGCTGCTGCATTGGCTGCTGCTGCTGCATCATTGGCGGCTGTTGATGATGATGCAACATCTGAAACATGGGTGAAAGATAATTCAATCCGATCCGAGACTTGAACATTTTGATTTGCTGCTGATGATGCTGCTGCATCATTCGCGGCTGCTGAATCATTAGTGAAATATAATTCAATCCCATCCGAGGCTCGAAGAATTTGATTTGCTGCTGAGCACTCGCCGACGTCGGCATTTTGATTGATCTCCTCTGCCATGGTTCCCTTCTCTACGATTATATCCACCAAATATGTGCTCCAATATAAGTTTAGGAATGGGCAAGAGTTCTGCTCGAATTCCCTTCCGTTAAACAGTACCGTTATATGTTGTGAATTTGGTATTGCCAACAACACTCTGAAATCCTGTATAAGTGTAGACACACTGTCCATTATGCTAACCACTCGAGTTTGTTGACTAAAATGAAGATCAATCAACCACCAAGCCGTAATATTCACTTCAACTGTTTGATGTCCAGAAGTATCACTAAAAAAATGAATTAAGACCAAAAATCAATTTCATAGGCAATAATCAAGGTTTTCAAAGACAAATATTTGGTAATAAATAAAATAAACACGTCAAGACTTGAAAGAATCATACCCAAAATTAAGGAAAGAATCATACCCAAAATTGAGGTAGTGTGCAATTTCTTCGTCTGTCACTGTAACCTCCGAATTATCAAGAAGAGGTCCCATATACTCGTTTGGCACCGTGGCCACTGGACAAGATACAACTTGAACCACTACTCCTCTCTTCAAATATTCAAGAACTACGTTCTCCTCTTCTCCGACCACCAGAAAGAGCTGTTGTTGGTTAGATGGAATCCCAGTCTTCTCTTCAATCTTAAATTTCACGTCTTTCACCTTCTCCATACTACTGGAATAATCCACGATCCATTCCTCGTGGCATTGAGAATATTGCCTGATCAATGCAACACGTATCATATTCATGGTGGACTGAAGGTATAAAATTTCAAGGGAATGGTTTTTTGAGGAGGAATTGTTGCAGAGGCTCTCTCAGTGTTTGGAACGCAGAGCTATGAAATGAATGCGGGGGCGGAGGGAAATGTTTTCTTGAATTCTTGCAGAGGCTCTCTCTCAGTGGTAGGAATTAAACGTAGAGCTATGATATGAAGGTGCGGCAGAGGGAAGTGGTCTCTCTCAGTGGTAGGAATTAAACGCAGAGCTATGATATGAAGGTGCGGCAGAGGGAAGTGGTTTCTTGCTTGCTGAGGAATTCTTGCGGAGGCTGGCTCTCTTAGGAATTGAATTTGGAATATGAATCTGCAGGGGGAGGGAAACAAGGGAAATGGTTCAGGGTATCATATTCATGGTGGACTGAAGGTATAAAATTTCACGGGAAATGGTTTTTTGAGGAGGAATTGTTGCAGAGGCTTTCTCTCAGTGTTTGGAACGCAGAGCTATGAAATGAATGCGAGGGTGGAGGGAAATGGTTTCTTGAATTCTTGCAGAGGCTCTCTCTCAGTGGTAGGAATGATATGAAGGTGCGGCAGAGGGAAGTGGTTTCTTGAAGTGGTTTCTTGCTTGCTGAGGAATTCTTGCGGAGGCTGGCTCTCTTAGGAATTGAATTTGGAATATGAATCTGCAGGGGGAGGGAAACAAAATAAGCGATATTTATTTGTTTACATTGGGACAATTTAATCATGTATTCTTAGCAATTAGGCCCAACTACGAAATAATCATTTGTCTCAGTAATGAAAAAGTTGGCCCAACAAAACAAACCCAATAACAAATATTTTTTCCCGTAAAGAAATGACATACTCGGGCCTAATAACGAATAATTGAGCGTAATTAGGGTTTATTCTCTTGTACAAAAACTGCAAATGCCTCCCAATTAAATACCTCAAAGAAAGGAGTAGTTATCTGATATGATGACTGGCACACACTCATAGAATATGGCCTCAACTACTCGAGGTGTGTGAACCTCGTAACCCCTGGCACATATGCAATACTTGCTGCTCTTCATGTATTCCCCGTAAATTCTTTTGCTTTCAATATCACGTGGCATTGGATGTCAGGTTCTTTGTTCTCCCAGTAGTGTAGTAGAATTGGTCGGAGATATCCATGCATGCCCCCGACGAAGAAGGCAAGAATAGATCTTTCTGAAGCAGGTTTTCCTCCAAGATCCTGCAAAGGGTTCTCAACAGAACGTATATATGTAACAGGTATTTGAAGTCTCTACCAACATTGGCATTGCAAAGAGATCTGATGCAATTCTTCATGCACTGTTTTGTGAGTTTTGGGGCCTGAAATTCCATACGACAAGGCTGTATTAGATAAAGGCTTTGATAGAGGATGGTATAATGCAGTTCAATATGACTTATAGTGTCCATTTTCCCCTTGAAAAGGCAAAAGGCAGAAACATATAGGAGAAAACCGCATCATTATCATCCAAACTAACAGGCGAAAACCATACTTCACCAACATTGATCTAGTTGTAATCCATAATTCAGGAAGCACAGCTCCTGGATTAATAGTTATTCTAGACTAACAAATAATGCTCATGGTGCTGAGTAGGACTTATACTACACAGGAACTCATCAACTTTGAAAGAGAAGAGATAGATTGGTGACTCTGAAACTATGACATTAAAATTAGATTGATGCATGAGAACCATACCCAGTCATGACAAGCAACAAGAAAATGATCTGCTCCTTCCGTTCTGTTCCAGAAAGAATACTTTCTTGCAATTAACGCAACATAGCTCTTCAAGTATTTCTCTAGGACCTTCTTACCATTTTTGACATTTTTTTATTCCCCTCAACTAGTTTCATAAACCACCCTTCTGAGGCATAAATTCCTCTCATCAAAGGCTGATGGAATACAGGCTTCTCACCTTCCTTGTAGATATAAACTTTGAGCATGTGATCCATCAAGTCATAACTCCTGCAATAGAATACGTATAAAAATATCAAGATAAAATTTGTAATGGGTTTCCACAAAGAAGTCTACATTTCAAACTTTCTACTCCCTGAAGAGACAGACAAGGCAACATGGAATCAGAGCAATATTCACAATTCCATATCTAAATAGAGAATGCTCATGTATCTCTAAAAGCACGAAGAGAATCTGTAGAGATTGATAAGTCCCAAATTGAAAGTAAAAACATAGACATAACTGAAGCAGTACAAGCAACCACTAAAAGAAAATGAAAATAAAGCATTTTATACATGCATATACATAGTGGACAGATTAGGTATCTAAACAAAACGGGCTTACCTTATGAATTTGGAAAGATTTCGTAAAACAGAAGCACTAAGTCCTGGATTGTTCCTTATGATGGGAGCATTCTCAATCTCTAGTTTTGCAGATTGAAGTTCACGATCACGTATAGAATACCGCCCGTGGGCTCTAGTGCCAATAAAAGTACAAGTGAGTATCCACAAACTTTAACTCATTCCTTGTTGCCCAAATTGGAACCTCAAATTTAAATTCATACCATTGAAGGAGAAGAAACAGGAACTCGAAGCAATAATGCATTCATCTGGGATATTGATGTTGGTCGTGGATTTCACTTCTTTAGTATGGAAATACTAGTCATTGTAGAATTGTCATTCAAGGTGACTGGAACAGGTTGCCATAGCTCAGTCTTTTGATGCTCAATTTGGGTTTCTGTAGTTTGTTTCAGATTGCCCTTTGAATCTGCATTTAAGTTTTCCGGACTCTATGTAGAGATTCCTTGCGATACAACTGGCACAATACCAGCTCCATTTCTACCTTCACTCACTGTTAAAACCAGAGCTTGTTTTAGGTCCATTGTCTGCCTTGTAACTTTCATCTGTTTTATCAGTCTTCTGTAAGGAATCATTTCTAAAATCGAGTGTCTTTTCCTGAACAGAAATATCATCTGCATTTCTATCCGTCCCCTCCAGAAAATTCTCATCAAGGGTTAAATTCTTCTCCAACATGAGCTCCTTGTGTGAATTACTGTCACCGCCTGGTGCCGAATCTGAAACATCAGTATCATTAACCACTAGGCCCACTACAACACCAACATTAGACTTGCTAGGCTTTGAATTGTTTGAGCTGCTAACATTGGCAAAAACTGTGGATGTTGAAGTTGAACCCTTATCAGCAGGTGAAAAGTAAAATTTTTACCAGAGGGAAGCTCGGAACACTGAGATACAACTACAATAACAACCACCCCACCGATTATCAACAGCAGTCTCCGGATTTCAATGTTGCCGGCAATATCCATATCACAGAAATTGCACAGTCAACCACTTGGTTTTAACAACGACACTTAAATATCGGAAAGAGAGATTACACATCACCACCACAACCCTGAAACCATATACATGCACCTAAGCAATTACATTGTAATTTGTAAATGCGGCATGTCGTTCTTATGTTTAGCCGACGACGTCGCTTCGAAGGGACTTGACACTTGGCCGTTGGCAGTTAGCGCCAAGCTAACCTTAAACCTCTCTCTCTCTCTCTCTCTCTCTCTCTCTCTCTCCCCCTCCCTCTGCAAACCTCAAACTTGAAACCCCTACTATCAACTGCTCTGCCTCTGCGACGCCGTTTAACTGGTCTGCATCTAAACCCAGCAAAATGCCTCTTTTCTTCTTAAAGTTTTAAGCTTTGTCTTTCAATTTGAGGATCCCAAATCCTACTTTCCCAGTAAATGGTGCTAAATTTGCCCACTTCCTGCCCAATTTTCGCGCCACTATAGAACCTGAACCCGACCCAGAACAGCCCGCCCAAGGAGGTCCGGTTCAGACGGTGGAACAACGCCAACGCCGAGAAATTTAACCAGTGGCGGAGGGCCCAGCAAGAAATCGAGGACGATATCCGCCGCGAGCGCCGCTTCGACTCCGCCACTAGAATTGCCACTATTTACGACTCTGCCACTGACACCACCACCACGAATGAAACATTCAAATCCATAGGCACACCTTCGTTTCCCTCAAGCCCTTTCATCTCGGGCAAAAAAATCCAAATACTCTAAAAACCCTAACTCTAACGAATCGCACCCCGTATTTCGCCGAATCATAAGACACACGAGGCTCTCGAAAATCCCAAAAGATAAAGGACCAACAGTTGACAGAAAAGCCAACATTTCCGTCGGCGACGATGGCCTTTCGTACGTCATCGACGGAGCCCCATTTGAATTCAAGTACAGCTACACTGAGACTCCTAAGGTGAAGCCCCAGTCCCCGGGCCCGTACTCACTCGGGTCGGGTCCAAAGTATGTGAAGTCTAGGGAGGAGATATTGGGTGACCCACCGACGCCTGAAGATATTGAGTGAGATTGTGAATTTGGAGGCAGTTCCAATTTTCAATTTGGGTGTGATGATGTGAGTTTAGATTTTAGAACTTCAAAATGCTGGAGATTTGTAGTAGCCTCAAGTTTTCAACTTTGCAAACTGGAGGAAAGCTTAAGTTTTTACCAGAAATTTTCTAGGTTTGCGATATTATTATTTTTGGTCATTTATGTATTTTTTTTACATTATTAGTAGTTTATGTTACACTTTACACATCAATTTGTAAGATTCTGTTAAATATTTTTGTTAAATTGCTAACGTGGCACATATGCCAATTTTCCTGTTTCTCTTTTCCCTGTGCCACCCTGTTTCCCCCTAATTCTTCTGACACGTGTCCTCTCTCTGGACATGAAACGCATCGTTGTTAACTTTGAATAAAATGAAAAATAAAATGATAGAATAAAATGAAAAGAAATAAAGAAACAAAAACCCAGCAGCGACCCAAGCGAAAAAGCGATAGCCAACCCTACCCCCTCCCCCAGTCCTCACACACACACATTCTCTCTCTCTCTCTCTCTCTCTCTCTCTCTCTCTCTCTCTCTCTCTCTCTCTCTCTCTCTCTCTCTCTCTCTCTCTCTCTCTCTCTCTCTCTCTCTCTCTCTCTCTCTCTCTCTCTCTCTCTCTCTCTCTCTCTCTCTCTCTCTCTCTCTCTCTCTCTCTCTCTCTCTCTCTCTCTCTCTCTCTCTCTCTCTCTCTCTCTCTCTCTCTCTCTCTCTCTCTCTCTCTCTCTCTCTCTCTCTCTCTCTCTCTCTCTCTCTCTCTCTCTCTCTCTCTCTCTCTCTCTCTCTCTCTCTCTCTCTCTCTCTCTCTCTCTCTCTCTCTCTCTCTCTCTCTCTCTCTCTCTCTCTCTCTCTCTCTCTCTCTCTCTCTCTCTCTCTCTCTCTCTCTCTCTCTCTCTCTCTCTCTCTCTCTCTCTCTCTCTCTCTCTCTCTCTCTCTCTCTCTCTCTCTCTCTCTCTCTCTCTCTCTCTCTCTCTCTCTCTCTCTCTCTCTCTCTCTCATGGTAAAGATCTGAATATGAAGGTTTAGAGAGAAAACATATCTGGAACAAGAAGCACGCACCTTTCGTCATCACACTCTCGACTCTCTCACTACTAAATCCCAAAACAAAAACCCCAAAACGTTGTGAGAACTGAGAACTTTTTTAATTTTTTAATTTTTGGTATAAAAAACTTTAAATTTCGTTTTCTCCCTAGTGATCTTGAGGAGCAATTGTTCAGACTTTGTCTCGTTAATGATCGACCGATCAAAGAAACAAGTTTAAAGACATTAAAAATCCAAAAGGAACACAGAGAGCTATGACAATGGTTGATGATGCATTCGAAGTGGGAGAAGAGGTCGGGTTGAGTTCAGACTATCTTAATATGGTGCAGAAATTCAAAGTTGAGAAAGAGAGGATGGGGGCAGTGACAAGCAGAGGGGGCTGCCGCTGAGGTGTGCTGTTTGCGGAGGGGTTGCAGAGAAGATGAATGATTTTTTATATATATATAAAAGGAAAGATGAAGATGAACGAATTATTTGATAAAATTTTAATAAAATTGACATATTAAACAGAGTTAACCTTCTGTTAGTTAACAAGACACGTGTTAGAAAAATAAGAGGGAAACAGGGTGGGCACAGGGAAAATGGAAACAGGAAAGTTGGACTCATCACTCTTAGTGTATGGGGTGCGGATACTAACTTGAGAGGATAGGATGTGCTTAATGCAAACTCACACATTTCTTAACTTGCTACCACTAGTGATGGTTGGAGAAAAATTATAACAAAATGAAGATAAATACCATTTAATTTTTATAAATAAACCCAAAAAATACTCAAAAAATAACAGCTGGCTTTATTTTATTTAATTTTGATTATTAAATTACTTTGATGTCCTATTGAGTGTTTTAGGTTTGTTAATGAGGTTTTGGGATTGGGTTTGTTTTAAGAAATCGATGACAATTTTGCAATTTATAAGAAGTTAAAAGCCTTTTTGTTATGTTGTAAATGAGTTTTGAGTGTGTTTTTAAAGTCCATTTCACATATGGTATTTTTATAATTTTGGTCCCTATATTGGGTATAATAGTGAATCTTCCTAAAATGAAAACAACTTTCAAACATAATGGTAAGATAACTCTGAGGGAGAAAGAATAAATAAGATAATGCCATTTTATTTATTTTTTGTTAGACGCCATTTTTTATTCCTTTCCTTCCTCTATCAAATCAACTAAAGAAAATGATTAATTTTCCATCCTCTATGTTCTTTAGTTAATGCCAAGGATTTATTCCATCTCCAAGTAAACGAATTATTTCAACTTGGAAAACTCATTCAAAAATCTCTACATTGAGCTCCATTTGTATCCACATTTTTCAATATAATCCAAAATTTAGATTGGATTCTAGAAGACCGTCTAAATTAAACCCCAAATTAAGAAGTGTTAATGTATATTTAGGATTCAACCACTCTCTCTTATCTCAATAGTTCATTCATTCCTAAAAAAGAAGAGCAATTTGCAAGGTAAAGATGCAATCATTGGAGCCACAGCTCATCAAAACAGCTTGATATTTAGAGAGAGAGAGAGAGATTAAGCATTGATTAATCCGCCCTGAGTTAATTAGTGGTACAATAAGACACAACATTTCCTTGAAGTCCTCACATGCACGTAATACTTGCCACCCCTTTTCTCCAAATATCATTTAAGAAATTAAAATTAACTATTTTATTACTCAATCCTCCTTACCCAGCCAACCCCACACACAAAAAAACATAAAAAATTAATTAAAATGATTGAATAAAAAGAAAACAAAACCAAAATTTGAAATGCTAAAAACACAAAAGAAGCAAACCAGGACGATCAGGAGACGTCTCAGTCCTCCGCTCGTCTGGAATTCCCTGGCAAAGGCCCCGCGTTGCCGCGTTGCGGTGTTTGAAACGGCGGCGTATATTTTGGGGTCTGCTGGTGATGGGCGATGAGAAGTCGTCGTCGTCGACTATAATGGCGAGCAGAGACAGAGAACCGCGAGATCGTGAGCTTCTCATTCCCGTGGCTGACTCCACCGATGAAGATGCTTCTTTCAAACCCTCTTCGTCTTCCTCTATTTCGCACCACACCGGCCGCGAGGTTAATTTCTATTGCTGTTTATTGGCCTAGGGTTTGTTTTCTGTTTGATTGCTTTGTGTCTGTTTGCTTGATGAGAAAACTAGGAAAATTGGAGGGGAAGTTGAAATTTCTTGCATAGGTTGCGAATTAAGTTCGTGGGTTTTTATTGGAATTGGTTTATGGGTTGATTTTTGTGAGAGAGTTTCTAATTTTGTGTTTGACTTGGTCTGACTTACTGTTTCTCGAGGCCATTGGAGGACCAAACTCAGATTCAGGTGCTATCTTGTTTCTGATGTTTTCCATCAGTTCAGAAGAGACTTCTGATCTTCTGATGTGCTGAATTTGACTTTTTTATTACTTTCTGGGCCTTAAAATTTTGGTATGCATTTGATTCAATCTCTCTGTCTGCTCCAGCCTCCAAGTAATATGATAAGAAGATGAAATATTTGAGTATGTGCATAGACTTATATCAATTTTATATCATTGATATTTTTCTGGAATTTCTTGTTGAGGACTTAAAGTTCGTTATTTTTGGTGGCCCAACTTGAGACATAGTTTTCTCATGCTTTGTGTGCGTGTGTTTTTCTATTAATCTTCCTAACACTCATACTATCTCCTATTATTTCTGTGCAGACTTTTTCCAAAGTAGTTAGAAGTTGGGCATCAAAAAAGTTCATGACCGGATGGTGCGCATTTCTTTCTTGTGGTTCCTATTTTCCTTCAAGTCATGTACATATGGAATTCTAATTTACAGTTGATGCATGTATGTTTGTATGTAAACCATCAATTGGCGAGGGTCTAATCAATTTGTGTTTAAGGTTGTTTTCTTGCAAGTATACAAGTTATTTGATTGTAGGTTATTCTTGAAATTTATAAGTATTTGTTGAATTTATGCTTAGTTTTGACATGCTGACAGATGGAATGATTTAGAGGTGATAGGACCATCGACTTAGCAGATTGTTGCCATGTGTTTTATAATATATCTTTCCCTTTTTCTGAGGGTATAAGTATATTGTTTATTTGAATTCAGTTTGTTGCAGACAAAGAAATAGTTGCATAATATATAGCACTACCCTTTGGTTAGATGATTGCAAGAAATCCATTGCTTAGCTTCTTATAAGTTTTAGACAGATCATAGAATTTTTCTATGCTTATCATGTGTGTTTGGATTGTTTTTTGGTGCATACAATTAATGTAGTGGCTAAACGAGATTTTTAATGTCAACATTTTCTTACAGCCTTTTGCTTAATGCCATTATAGTTGCTCACTTTTTATTCTTTTGCAGTGTGATCCTGTTTCCGATAGCAATCACTTTCTATATAACGTGGTGGTTTATTCACTTTGTGGATAGCTTCTTCTCCCCAATCTATGCTCAACTTGGAATCAACATTTTTGGTAAGTAGTAAGTACACTTTGATTCAGTAGCACATTTCCTTTACGCCCATTCTTTCCATTGGTATACTGTAAGTTGCATTAGTTATTTTTGTTGGGATTTGATGTTGCTGGGATTTCCATATGGTCAATATTTGGAGTTTGAAAAGAAAATGTACTCCTAATGCAGCATAAGGCTAAACATGGTTTTGTCATATTCATTAAATATGCGGAGTTTAAAGTCAAGCATGCCCTTGTTCAGTGATTTTTCTTATTTTTTTGGCTGTCTGTTTTCATGATGTCTAATTGACCTTTGAACTTCTGTATACATTTTAGGTCTTGGATTTGTCACTTCCATTACGTTCATATTTCTTGTTGGCGTGTTCATGTCATCATGGTTGGGTGCATCTGTCCTGGGCCTTGGTGAGTGGTTCATCAAAAGAATGCCGTTTGTTCGTCATATCTACAATGCCTCCAAGCAGATTAGTTCTGCCATATCCCCAGGTGTGTTTTATAGTATTTCTATTCCCCTTGTTTGGACTCAATGAAATAGATGTGGACAGTTATAATCTTTAGCTCTGTATGAAATTAGATCAAAACACGCAAGCCTTCAAGGAAGTGGCCATCATAAGGCATCCACGCATTGGTGAATATGCATTTGGGTTCATAACTTCATCGGTTGTCCTTCAGGTCTGCAAATAATTTCTATATTGTGAAACTACCTCTTCAGCACTATTTTTGTCAAACATTTTTCTTTATCATGGTCAGAATCCTGTTATTCATTACATTTTTATGATAATCAATCTAATTTTATGAGCATGTATGTTTAATTTTACCTTACCTGTGTAATAATGCATGGTTTAAATTGTTGTCATGCGAACAGTGTTTTAGAAAATTGGTTTTGTGATCCATTGTTTGTTGTTACCAAAGTGCAATACTGACAATGACATGGTGATATATTCTATAAGAATTTGAGAAACAATCTTATGACTGAATATATATTTCTTTAATGCAGAGCTATTCTGGAGATGAAGAGTTGTGCTGTGTTTATGTTCCCACGAACCATCTTTACATTGGCGATGTATTCTTGGTCAACACCAAGGATGTCATTAGACCAAATTTATCTGTACGGGAAGGAATTGGTGAGTAGGCTATATATACTACTTCATCAATAAGATAAAAAAAACCTGTTTTATAGCTCTTAGCTTGAAATTTACAAACCAACTTTTTCTAGTTACTCGACTCCTATCCCTCATCATTATGGGCATCCAAATGCCTTTGTGCTAATTTCCACATAAGCCAGAAGAGCCTTTGGAACCAATGATACCTCCCGATGAAAAAAATACAAGGGTCCTATTGGTTGTTTCCAAATCTACAAGTCAGAGAATAAAGTTGACACCGTTGGGAAAGAAAGAAAAAGAAGTTAATCTCCATCCGAGTTCAGTGACTAGTTGTCTTAGATTGGGGTTCTGTATTGAGTTTGCAATTTTCATAAACTATATGCTCCCAACCCCAAATACAAAGGATAATCGAAAGAAGGAAAACGGTTTGCTTTTTATGTCTTTGAAGCTTTATTGACCATGAAAGCGGTATTAATTTATCTGTTGTTTAAATGCAGAAATTGTTGTTTCTGGAGGCATGTCAATGCCCCAGATCCTGTCAACACTCGATAACCGGATTATGCCAATGGATAGCTGAGTGAAGGTGTTAGATGTAGAAGAGTTGCTTCTTTATTACCTTTTTTTTGGTTCCTTAATGTCATCAGACTGGCCTTCCAATCTGTGGTGCTTATGCAGGATTTAGAACCAGATCGTCAAGGGTCAGATTCTGGCGACATTTGTAACATCAGTTGTGATGTCAGAATGTAGAATTTTAGTGTTTGCTTGAAATATAGTTTTGATTGATAAAATGATATAACAGGCTTATTTATAGCCTTTTTGATTTTCAGATTGCTTCTCCACTTTTAGAATTGCCTCTGTTTAATATTTATTATTACTAGCGCGTACGAAATTCTTTGCTGTTGATGTTTTCAGACTACAGCGATTTTGTAGATTAAAAATAGCTTATTTGATACCAAATTACATATATTATTCAGCATGGAATCAGGCAAACGAAGATTTTCTTTTCTTTGCTTTTAGTGTGTTTGATTACCCATGCACCTGAGGTTGTGTTGAAATCTCCATTATCCAAGGTCAACTAGTGTGTTTGATTAATATGCATTCGAGCTCCTGTGTTAAAAGGTTCCGTATTCGAATCCTCTTCTCCACTATAAAAGTAAAGAGGACCAATCTGGGACGTAAAATTAACAGTCAAGGGAATCCATCTTTTACTTGTTAATTGATTATTTTAACTTTTTAATTTTTTATATTTTATTTCTATCAGCTGATGTGACATATTATATCTGATTATTGATGAGTCATTGATTGCTACATCATCATTTAATAGATAAATGAAAAGTTTGACTAAGGTATGCAAGTGGTAGAAAATCCAATTTTGGGTACAAAGTTGATACCAAAAAACTTTGAGTGGTGATTTCCCCACTCTAATTTTGTCCACTTACACTCCATTTTATAACTGAAAAAGGAGTGTAAGTGGTCAAAATAGAATTGGGGAAATCATTAGCCAAAACTTTATGTAGTAAATACTGAATTTCGAGAAACTTCCGGGTAATAAAGTGAAATTTACTCAAAGGAAAAAATATATATATTTGTTAAAACTCATTAAGCTATAGGCTTTCGTTATGCGAGGACCAATCTGGGCCGCAAAAATGAAGATCCTCCTTTATAAAAGGCGGGCCTTTTGTGGATCATTTGTTGTTGTAGCCTAAATCAAAGACCTTTCTCTTTTAATACCAATTGGACTTCATGATTGAGATGATCTTCATTCATCACAACATAGCGGGGCAGGTTCTTATGACTTATAGTGTAGAATAGCCCAATTCAAAAGCCCTACCCAAAACACAAAACCCTAGCTCCAAACCCTCCGTTCCACCTCTTTATAAACCAGCGTAGTGTTTCGCCAAAACCCAAGTCCGCGCTTGGCCGCTAGGGTTTCAGTTACCTCTGAAATTAGTCTATTCACTTCATTAGAATTCCATTGTTGTATCTTTGTTTTGATTTTCCTGGTTCGATTCAAATCGGGACAGTGACGATTCATATTGATAAGGTCTCGTTCGTCGTAATTGGCCGTGAAGGCCTTGCCGACCATCCTGTTATATCACCACCCATATTCTGAGTCCCTTTCATCTCAATTTGAAAAAAAAGTTTCGTTTTTTCATTCTTTTGTGTTGACATCTGGTTATTTTGAAATTGGGTTTTATTTTATCAAATTGCTTTTGGTGATGCTGCAAAAGTCTTTGTGGGTTACTTCTCAGCCGATGATTAAAAGTAAATATTTAGACAAGCATATGTCTGAATTACTCTATGTGGAACAACCTAATCTTCTCTATGAGGCTGATCATCTTCATTTTCTCTGTGTTAGGAACATGAAATTTTGGATTTTTCATTTCGTTTGAATTTATGTCCTTGGATTAGTAAACAAATAAACAGTATGATTTGCACGTAGCCGCCTGTGATGAGGATATGGTTTCGTGTAATTTATGACTATCAGTGATTACATATATACCTCTACTGCCTTCCTTCTGAGGCTCATAAGTTCTCTGTCTATCTTACGTACTTGTTAGCTACATGATTTTTTGTTTTATAAAAACAATCTGAAAAAAAGGTTGGTTAATTTCATTATGGGTCGAGTGATGATTAAATGCATAGTTCAGCTGATATCTGCGTGATTAATGCAATTTTAGTCTTTCGCTCCTATCTGACGATCCTTATGAATTAATCTGTAGTTATGGTTTTTCAACTTTCTATTGTTTTCGAGTTTTAAAGTTGTTTTCTTGGATTCCAGGCAAAATATTTTTCTTTTCTGCTCTGGTAGCAATGTGTACAAAAGCATTGTTAATTATGTACAAAATAGCCAGTGATTTTAATCTTTTTCTAGACAAGCATATGTCTGAAACTGTTGGTGCTGATAAACTTATTTCTATGAGGCCTGTTCCTCTTGCCTTGAACTTACATTGCCTAGTAAGAACATGCTTACCTAATCTCCCTATGTATGAGCTTTTGGTGGAGATGTTTAATAGGTTGTTATTTGGCCGATTTAGATTTCTAGTTTTAGATAGAACTCTAAGTGGACTGTGAGGATGTATTATTGGTCTCGTTCGTCGTAATGGCTCTTGGGCCTTGCCGACAAGAGTGATATATCACCACCCATAGTCTGAGTCCTGTAAACCTAACAGTTGCTGAAGCAATTTACTCTGTTTTTGTTGGTTACAAGCTTTCAATGTTTGTTAATGTTGCTTTAAATTTTGCCCTAGTTTCTCTTCTTAATCAGGTTTCTGTTGTGCTCGGTGATGTACTCGAGACTTTTTTGAGGCCTTCTCCAGCGCCGGAAGAGACCAAAGCTGGAATTGTTTCATTCTCTGTGGGAGGATGTTTCCATTTGTTTTGTACTTTTGGCCATTGGCGTTGTTGTAAACCCAGAAAGAACAAATTGACATTGTTGACATTTTTTTTCTGAAATATGTACGGTGTTGAAAGAAGTTTTATGTACCAAGTTTTCTATTGTTCATATGTTTTATTCTTTATGTTGCTTTGGTATATTCTCGTCAATGAATTATATATTTGTTTGCCGTCTTAAAACTTTTCAAAACCATCCCACTTTATACTGTGAAATAAATTTACAAACCACTTTAACCGAAGTTGTAATCTCACCATTATTTACTTCTTTTTATTTAATTTTTATATTTATAGAATTATGGTTGCCGATGGAGTGTTAAAAAATATAATGAGAGTTCAGTTTGGGTTAAAATGGTGTTTAAAATGAAGAGAAAATACTGTCGATTTAGATTGTGTGACTAAATCAATTGTTCCTATCAACTCAGATTTGAGAAATCTAAGACGCCGTTTATCGTCAGAAAAAGACACCATCAATTATGCCACCACTTCAGCGACGTCGTTTATGCCAGCCAAACATAGCCCTACAACCCCGTCAACTTCACATGTTACCGCGGGTACCAGAGAGTAACGGACGACTAAAAAACTGCCGACACTTAGTATCCGAACCTACAGCTTCGGAGCCTCCCGAACCTAGCTTTGTCGCTATATCTGAGCATAAAGCCTCTGACTCACTCCAATTCCGTCTGTGTCTCAGTGCACAACACTCACACTCCCAAAGTGTATAATGAAAGACGTAGTGCTCTGCTTTTGCTGTGTGTCTCGCTCCAATTCACGAAAACGGCACCCTGTCTCTTTTCACACAGAGAGCTAACAAAGCCACCGCCAATCCCATCAGATTTCTCCTCAGTTTCTGAACCCAAGGCCACAAGCTTTTCTGTTCCATTTGCTCAGTTTGCTCTTCGTCTTGTTTCTAATTCGGGCATTTCTCCCTGTTTTGCCACGACCCTTTTAATGAAAACCTAAGCAATTCGTTAAACCCAAATCAAAATTCCAAACTGGGTCCAATCCAATTCCATCAGATTTTTCCTCAGTTTCTGAACTCAAAGGCACAAGATTTCTGTTTCATTTGCTCAGTTTGGTCTTCGTCTCCTTTCTAATTCTGGCATTTCTCTCTGTTTTGTTTTACCAGGACCCATTTAATTAAAACCCAAGCAATCCATCAAACCCAGATCAAAATCCAACGAAGCTTCAGAATTTACAACTGGGTCCAATCAAATTCAGCATCTTTCACCAAAATCTCCAAAGATAACGCATTTAAACACACACCATATATAGCGCACGCCTGCAGCAAATACGATGCACGCAAAATCTGACTCGGATGTGACCAGCTTGGCACCTTCATCACCAAGATCACCAAAGCGACCTGTTTACTACGTTCAAAGCCCGTCCAGGGACTCCAACGATGGCGATAAATCGTCCACAATGCAAGCCACGCCAGCCTTCAACAGTCCCATGGAGAGCCCATCGCACCCTTCTTATGGCCGGCACTCGAGGGCGTCATCTGCCAGTCGGGTTTCGGGTACCTTTCGGTCCTCTTCGGGTCAGAAAGGGACCCGGAAGCGCAACGATAAGGGGTGGCCTGAGTGCAATGTGATTGAAGAAGAAGGTGACTATGGTGGGCTTTATAAAGATAAGGGAATTTCTAAAAGGTGCCAGATTTGGATTGCTCTGTTTGGGTTTGTTTTGATTTTCTCCATCTTCTGCTTGATTCTTTGGGGTGCTAGCAGGCCTTACAAAGCTCGGGTTGCTGTTAAGGTATGCTTGTTGATGATCATGACCCTCTAAGCAAATTTCAATTTTTTAAAATTTGTTTTGCTAATTTTTTATTGTTTAGGACTTTTGTGTAATCTAGTGTTTGATAATGTATTCGGATTATCTATATGTTATTGAATAAAGTAATCTGTTGGGAATGAATGTTATGATTTTTATAATACTCTGTTGTCAACTTTTAAGTCACATCTTAGATTATTGAAATTGAAGCTGGCACTTGGCAAGAACTACTTTTTGAGGTTTGGAGGGGTGGTCAAAGCCTCGTTCTTGAGGCCAACGAGGGTTGGTTGAGTTGGTAGGATCGTTCTCTTCGCTATCAAGGCCTAGTTTCAAGTTCTACTGCCATAGTTAATCTGTAAAAACCAAAAAAAGGGATAGGACCCCTCTGTATGCCCTGGCCTTGGAATGGGATAGCCTCCCCTATCTCTAAACTTTTTTTACCATTAAAAAATAAAAGCCTTGTTCTTGCTTCACTTCCTGTTGGTATTTATATTTCAAATGATCTTCAATTTAAGTTTTTTCTTCAGAGCTTGGCTGTGCATAATTTTTATTTCGGGGAAGGATCAGACACAACTGGTGTGCCTTCAAAGATGCTGACAATGAATTGTTCAGTGAAGATGAGTGTGTACAACCCTGCTACGTTTTTTGGTATTCATGTGAGCTCAACATCAATTAACCTTATGTATTCAGAGATTGCAGTTGCAACCGGCCAGGTAAGATTTATACATTGGACTGTTATTGGATTTATGATGATGCAATGCCAATAAGAAACTCATCCAAGTGAGCTTGAATGGCTGCGTCACATTTGCTTTTTCCATTTCTTTTCTTGTAAATTAGAGTCATCTCTTGATGTGTGATTTAAGAAGCTACTTTCAGTTATTTCTTATTAGACTTAGGTTTAGTTTCAGCTTTTTCTTATTTGGTTGCAAATAATGCAGTTGAAGAAATACTATCAACCAAGAAAGAGCTACCGGAATGTGACTGTGAACCTCCAAGGAATCAAGGTTCCTTTATATGGGGCTGGGGCAAGCTTAGCAGTCTCTGATAACAGTGGAGGAGTTCCGATGATGCTGATGTTTGAAGTCCGGTCACGAGGGAATGTGGTGGGGAAGTTGGTGAGATCAAAGCACCGAAGGCACATATCTTGCTCCATGGAAATCAACTCTCATAATAGCAAACCCATCAAGTTAAAAACGAGTTCATGTACCTACAAATGAGCACCTGGGTTTCACCTGCTGCTATTTACAATGCCTAGTGTTTCTGTTACAGTTATTTTTGTTATCAGTATATGATAGTGTGGAGTGGTATTGTATGCTTTCTTCCTTGCTAAGAAGGTTCATCTTGTCATACAACATTTTGCAAAGTTCTGCATAGAGGCTATTATACTAGTGGGACCATTGAGACTCACCTTATATGACAATTCATAAGTTATAATGAATTTTGCTTTCCGTGTCCAAGCACATCCACAGGTTTATTTATTTATTTATTTTAAAGTGAGAGAAAATTCTGAATTGAAACAAACAAGTTACTTCATTCAGGGGTCGATTTGCAATGTACAACAATTATGATGAACTAAGGCCTTCCAAAATTCGCCCGTATCCCAGTTTCTTTTAGAATTGAGAAATTACACAAAGATTGAATGCAAAAATGGTAGAGCACAAAACGAAACAATGTCAATCGAAGAGGCAGAAGAAACTTCATATGGTTACTAATTCAATGATACACTTTCCTTTTGCTGAGACGCTGGAACGCTATCCTGCTTATCAGCACCTTCCTTTGCCTGAGACACTGGAATACTATCCTGCTTATCAGCACCTTCCTTTTGCTGAGACACTGGAACGCTCTCCTGCTTATCAGCAGCACAACCAGTCTCAAGAACCGTGGCGCCAATCCTCTTTGGAGGCCAATACCGAAACAGGGATCTTCCTAAAATATTTTTGGCTGGCAGTGGACCCCTAAACATAACACAACTTAAACA